ACTTGATCGTCCAATGGCTGCAGAACCATACACTGTATATAAAGAGTGCAGGACATAAATGTCACCTCCTCCATGTTAGCAGATTGAACATGGGCCAAACTTAAAAGTCAAAGTATAGGTCAAAGGATTTTTTTCTCAAAGATGGTTTCTGTCATGAAAAAAAAGAAAACTCCTGTTAAGCAAATCATTCAAACACATAACACATGGGGGAACAAAACTAAAGATAATTCAGTTACATCTAATGAAAGAAATTACTATAAAATAAAACTAAACAGAATCATGGACCAGTTTATAAAAAAGCTGTGTACTCAACATCCAGCACACAAACAATGTGAGTTGTAAAGTTGAGAGTATATTGTAGAACTGTTTGAGGACTCACTAATGACAAGAAATAATTCTGAAGGGCATTTCATCTGCATAATAATTCCAGAAATCTGTGTCACAGATCTTTGTTCGACAGCTTTTGGTCTCTCCAGATGATCTTTACTTGGAGTGGCTCAAATACTAAAGGTAACTTTTACAGCCAGAAAGCTGCATTTAGCATTAACAGGCCAAAGCAAACAGCCCATTCCAAACAGGCACTAAACATTATATTATAATGGGAGGAATTGAAAGTCAATAATTGTATATATAATGTGAGCTGTATCTGTAAGCACATTTTGAAAGTGAGGACTAATAAAACATTGAGCTTAAGTAAAATGTAGTAAGAGTACAACAATGAAAACAGGACAGCATCAGTTATCTTCATAACAATTTATTTACATTGCATTTGTTCTCTATTTCTAATAAACAATAAAAATTGGTACTAATATCTAAAGTGTTTAAATATAAAAACTGTAAAATAATCAGCTATTTGACCAGATAATACATTTTATTCAGAGAATGCTCAGTCCATTAAAAAACCTCTCACCTGTCCCAGATAGGGCTCATAAATGCAGATAGTTTTACTTACATAAAATGTTAAATGTTTCATCATCTGTTTGAGTCTTTCACCCATGTAGTTTAAAAACAGTGACATTGAACATGAATGGGCGCGCTCATGCACGCCGTCCAGCCAGCTGACAAATGACTTGAAAAAGGAGTGAAGAACCAGAATGACAGTACCCTTCTCTGTTGGATATGAGGGTTCACTGAATGGCTTTATGAGAATGAAAATGATGTCAATCATATGCTGTGGCATTGACAGTCTCATGACGTTAACTATACTGTTTACCCGCAATCAGCGAGCGAATTGGTGGGACCCTGCTACCGTTGCTCAGTCCCCCTACTGTGCATGTAGAAAACATGTACACATGAAAGAGGAAGCAATCACAGGTAATAATTTACTCATCAAGTCAACAGCGGGTCATTCTTATACTGCACTCTGCGGTGATCGGCTAATATATAAGCCACATAAGTCATCTGTCTATCTTGCAATTTAAAGGGGATGGAGGAAGATATATAAAATGATTAGAATTAGGTAGACAAATTTCCTCCTCATGTCAAGTCAAGTACAAAAATAAAAGGTTTTTTTTGTCAAAGTTGATAATTAGTTTAAACTAAATAAACAAAAGAAAAATTTAAAATCTTTTTAAAATCTGTACAATTTTTCACATCTTTACAAAATGTTGCTTTCCTGCATTGTCGTATCAGAACAGGTATTTTCGACAAGAGTCTGATCCACACCGACACTCCACTCGAATCCTCTTCTTTGGCGAGCTCGGGAGCCCTGCTAGACTGAAACTGGAGTCCATTTTGGTGCTTTCTGTGTCAACTGGATCAACTGGAATCAAACAGATGCCGGAAAGGGTTCAGTTGAAGAGGCAGCTTCTAATGACTGTTAAAAAGCAGCTTAACTGCTTGAACATAAACTCACCCCCCATATAGATGGCAGCTAAAATTATGGTAAAAATGATCGTGTGTGATAGTATAATTAAGGGTCAATATATATGTTATACAATACATTACTTTTTTTTTAATGGAGGCATGTTGTGATTTTTCTGTTGTTTTCTGAAGAAGAAGACACCATTGACTTCAATTGTATTTGATTCTGTTGCAACAAACTTGCAGTTGAGACTCCAGAAGTGTTTTGGAAACACTTCACCCACCCCTCCATTGGCATAGTGGTGAGTAGATAATGAATTAATTTTTGATTCCTTTAGGTCTACTCTGTTTTTAAGAATAAAATACCTTGGTTTGGTTCATACCTTGGTTTCTTTTTTTTCGGAGAGAGGGTGTAGTGTGTCCGTGAGAAAAAGCGTGAGGAAAATGTCTGGGTTTTATTAAAGCACCACAGTTTGGAACAGTAAAGAGAAGAACATTAAAGAACATTGACTTGGACTTGACCTCACATAAAACTGTATAAACAAAAAATAACCAAAGATTATGAAAGTGGTGTGTGTGTGTGTGTGTGTGTGTGTGTGCGTGTGTGTGTGTGCGTCCCACTGTCTCAATGTCCAGAGTTCAAAATCAAACCGTAGACATCTGGACCGTGGATTTGGTTCAGGCATCATTACAGCCCTAATGGTCTTCTATCCCACACCCACTTCACAGCCTGGTGAAGTCCATCTTGCAGATGTTAGTCCTCTTATTTTTAGTTTAAACTTTTAGTGGGCAACCTTCGAACTGTCCCAGTCTGTAGGGTGCAGTCTTAACTTTTGAAAGAACCTTATACTACAACATTCTTTAGCTTCAAGTCCGTCTTACAAGTGAATGTTTGAGACATTTGTTAAAAGATTTAAACTAGTTTTTATATTACCCATTTGTCAATAATTAATTTTCTGCAAGGGTTAAAATCAAATAAGTGAACACTGAAATCACAACTGATTTTGATGAAGGAATTATTCAATTGGAAAATCTTTACTGATTTACATTGTGTAATTTGTTGATGGGACGAAATCCTCGATTTTGAGACCTTACACTGGTGCAGTGGGCCCCAGGTTCCTCATGGTGCAGGATAATGCCCGGCCTCATGGCCAGAGTGTGTAGGCAGTTCCTTGATGATGAAGGCATTGATGCCATTGACTGGCCCTCTCATTCCCCTGACCTAAATCCAATTGAGCACCTATGGGACATTATTTACCACCACAGACTGTGCAGGAGCATCATGCCCAGATGTTGTCGGGTGTGCATACAGAGTCACATTATGAGTTGCTTTGATAAAAGTCACACAAGTTGAATCACCCTGTGATTTCATTTTTTTTCTTTGATTTTCAGTATGAATCCAGTCCTCATCAGGTTGCATAAAAAATTTGTCCTCAACAAATTATAGAATGTAGATCAGAAAGATTTTCAACTTGCATAATTCGTTCATCAAGATCTAATGTGTGATTTAAGTGTTCCCTTTTTTGGAGCAGTGTACATCAGTGTACATATATTAGGGCCACGATATTAGGAAAACATGATAACATTGTTGAATATCGCAATGGCGATCTCCCGTTCCATCACATCCGAAAGGTGCTCTATTGGATTGAGATCTGGTGACCGTGGAGGCCATTGTAGTACAGTGAACTCATTGTCATGTTCAAGAAACCAGTTTGAGATAATGTGAGCTTTGTGACATGGTGCATTATCCTGCTGGAAGTAGCCATCAGAAGGTGGGTACACTGTGGTCACAAAGGGATGGACATGGTCAGCAACAATACTCAGGTAGGCCGTGGTGTTTAAAGGATGCTCAATTGGTACCAAGGGGCCCAAAATGTGCCAAGAACATATCCCCCATACCATCACACCACCACCACCAGCCTGAACCTTTGATACAAGGCAGGATGGATCCATGCTTTCATGTTGTTTACGCCAAATTCTGACCCTACATCTGAATGTGGCAGGTGAAATCAAGACTCATCAGACCAGGCAACGTTTTTCCAATCTTCTATTGTCCAATTTTGTGAGCCTGTGTGAACTGTAGCCTCAGTATCCTGTTCTTAGCTGACAGGAGTGGCACCCGGTGTGGTCTTCTGCTGCTGTAGCCCATCTACTTCTAGGTCCGACGTGTTGTGTGTTCATAGATGTTATTCTGCATACCTTGGTTGTAACGAGTGGTTATTTGAGTTACAGTTGCCTTTCTATCATCTCGAACCACTCTGCCCATTATCCTCTGACATCAACAAGGTATTTTCATCCACACAACTGCCGCTCACTGGATATTTTCTCTTTTTCCGAACCATTCTTTTTAAACCCTAGAGATGGTTGTAAGTGAAAATCCCAATAGATGAGCAGTTTTTGAAATACTCTCTAGACCAGCCCTTCTGGCACCAACAACCATGCCACGATCAGTTCCACAGACTTGTTTGTAGTGTTAATAAAGCGTGCTCTTAAACATTGAGAAAGAACCAAAGCAATAGTCACATATCTCTTATAATATAATAATAATAATATCGAATAATAAAACTAAATTTAAAGTGTGACTGAAGGACCGTTTGTCCTCATTCCCACTTCTCTGTCTCTCTGCCCCCCACACATTTATTTATTTTTAATACATGTCAATAACTGTTTCTGTCTCCCACAGTCCCTCTCTCTCTCTCTCTCTCTCTCTCTCTCTCTTTCTCTCATCGCAGATATAACAGCACTGCAGGACAACAACTATTATTATTATTAACAACATTACTTCAGTCATTATTTATTATATGAATTGTGCCTGTCATCAATAATAATCAATAACTTCTTTACACAGTATCTTGTTTACATTTTAACTAGTCAGATCTGATACCTGATGGTGCTCAAGTGTTCCTGGTCTCTCTCACCTCTCTCGTGATGATGGACTTCGCTTCATTCAGCTGATGAGAATCCTAAAAATTTGTTCTTGGCCCTGATACAAATCCTTGAGATGGCTTTGGGACCTTTCTAAGTTTTTCAGTTTAATTGAGAGACCTGATTCTTGACCGTACGAAAAAAGGAAGAGGATATAATAATTTGATATGATAATTATAATATATGCGTCCATTCACCTGACAAACTCTAAGAATGCTTATGGTTACAAAGGACATGATTTTAAGATTCAAGATTCTTCATGTAACTGACTGTTCCCTAAAGTCTGGTTAAAGCCAGTTTGAAATAAAGTTCTGCTTAAACCATAACACTTACTTTGCATTTTGTAGTCAAAGGTGAGCTCCTCTCCTGCCCGAATAGCCCGTGTTGAAAATAAAGCGATTCTTGGGAGCCTCTCATCAATGTTATCAATGAACACATTGAAAACCTGCAGATTTGGATTACACTGTAAAAAAAACAAAAACACATGTCAGGAGACTGTGCTTTAGAATACCAAATAGGTCTGCACAATATTAAGAAAACATGCAATAACATTGTTGAATATAGCGATGATTATATGACTTGCAATAAATAAACAGTGTTTAAGTCTTTCTGCTTTGGTTTCACTGCTAACATAGACATAGATCAAATCAAGGTTATTATAGTTTTGAAATTGTCATTTTTTATTTAGTTTTTCAGGTCGCTTTTTTATTTCAGTTTAGTTTTAGTTAGTTCAACAAGTGATTTTGTAGTTTTAGTTTAGTTTTTATTTTGAGGAATTGACTAGTTTCAGTTTAGTTTTTATTTAGTTTTAGCCTTAGTTTTTCCAGGCATAAAGAGAAAGCCTTGACTTGTAGAAGCTGAAAAAGGAAGAAACAATGTGTGACACCAAATATGGTTTATCAAATCCTTTAATTTCATTCTTTAACCATCACCTGCAGGACAGGCAGTAATCGAGGGAGAAAACGAACCGACAACGAAAACAAAGCTGAATTTATCTCCAATTCAGTTTAGTTTGAGTTAGTTTTGCATTGTTCACTGTAGTTTTTATTTAGTTTTTGGTTTTTTTGTAATTGTCGTTTTTATTTTTATTTCAGTTAACTAAATAATTTTTTCATTGCTAGTTTTAGTTTTAGTCTCAGTTTTCATGTAGACACCGATAAAATAATGAAAAGCTTTATTTACATTCTAACAACATGGTTTTATTGCAAAAACGTCACCCAGGGAGCTTTGCACAGCTCCACTGAGTTCATACATGTTTGGACTGATAAAAAAAAATGTTTTACAGTTTAACCAGTCTGTCAGTGTAATTTCGCCATGCTTCATTGTGTAATGGCATTAAAGGCATTCTATTGTATTACTGCTTCGCTCTGTGTCTCGGTCATTCACGCTGTGCACTGCGCTGACCGGGGCAATCCAAACAGAGCGTGCCGCCATCTCTTATAAATTCAATTGTTTTTACCCTGTCTGAGTTCACACACACTGTTTGTGTGTGAGTGAGTGTGAGAGAGAGAGGAAAAGAGCAAGCTGGACGACTGATGGATATGCCTTCTCTGAAGAAATATTTAACTGATTAAGAAAAGTATCGACCATTATTTGATGATCAGATGATCAACAAATCAACATTTAAACTTTAGGGAGTCAGAGATGTCAGCTGAGTCTGTGGTGGTGAGAGAGAGAGAGACACAGTGGGTGCGCTGATACTTTTCTGTCAGGTTCTGGGACTATCATAAATAAGCTACGCAATTCTTTTACATAATCAACCACTCAGTGATGAATTTCACATGGCACAAACTTGATCAGTAAAAGCTTCCACAGAACTTCGTCAATTCTGTTTTCTCTCTATTCTTTTCTTCCGACAATGTTTCAGTGACAGAAAAACCTGTCACCGATCTGAATATCTTCCAGGGCAGCAGGGCTCCATCTGATTGGCCGAATATATTGACATGTGTGAATGCATGGCACATGGAGCACCTTTTATTGCAGTTCAAGCTGTTATTTTTCAATATGCATATGGCTCATGTTGATATCCCGACGATGATACATTTTAGATATATCGTGCAGCCCTAAAACCTAACAAAAAATAGAAACTGCATTCTGAGCTACACATACACCTGACTTGTATTTCATTGCAGACAGTATGAACATAAGATTGTATGTTTTGTCTGGTCAACTTTATTTAATTTGTAAATATACATTCATTCCTGCCATTCAGGCCTGCAACACATTCCCAAAAAAGTTAGGGCGGGGCAATTTAGGGCTAGTAATGAGGTAGAATGATTAAAAGATAAAGTGATTTGAAATAGGTGATGTCAACAGATGACTGTGATCATGATTTGGTACAAAAGCAACATCCATGAAAGGCCTAGTCCTTTAGGAGCACAGATGGACCGAGGATCACCAGTTTGCCAACAAATGTGTGAGAAAATTATTGTAAAGTTTAAAAACAGTGTTCCTCAAAGAAAGATAGGAAGGGATTTTGGAAATTTTACCCTCTATGGTGCCTAACATGATTAAAAGATTCAAGGATTTTCAGTGCGTAAAGGGCAGGAGCACAAGCCTGAACTGACTGTGTTCTCCAATCCCTCAGACGACACTGCATCAAGAACTGTCATTCATCTATAAAATATAACCACATGGGCTCAGGATTACTTTGGCAAACATTTGTCAAACACTACAATATGTAGTTACATCCACAAATGTAAGTTTACACTTTACTGTGCCAAAAGAAAGCCTTATTTTAACTGTGTCCAGAAGCACCGTCGACCTTTTTGAAAGAAATGGACGTCATGTGCTCCGGACCAAAGATGAAAAGGACCATCCAGACTGTTATAAGCAACAAGTCCAAAAGCCAGGGTCTGTCATGGTACGGGGTTGGGTCAGTGTCCTTGGCAAAGGTAACTTACACTTCTGTGATGGCATATTGATGCAGAAAGGTACATAGCGATTTTGGAGCAGCATGTGCTGCCTTTAAGACAAAAGCGGAGACAGAGACCCTGTATTGTTGCACACGTTAAGACTTTTGTTTGCAGGAAGAATGGGACAAAATGACACCTGAAACGCTTCATCCCTTGGTGTCTTGAGTCCCTAAATGTCTTTTAAGTGGCGTGAAAAGAAATGGCAACATTACAAAGTGGTAAATGCTTTACTGTCCCAACTTTTTTTGAAATATGTTGCAAGAATCTAAATTTAAATATGTTTGTTTTGAAAAAACAATACAATTTGTGATGTCAAACATCAAATAATGTGCTTTTGTATTGTTTTTACTGTAATACAAGTCAAAGATCTTTTATAAAACACTGTTCTCAGTTTTAATTTTAAATGTAACATACCGTCCAAAACTTTTCTGATTTGGGGTTGTAAATAATCCAAGAATACAAGAAATACTATTGATATCTATATCGATATTTAATGGCATATGAAACAGACTGTGTACCCAGAACATTTAATGTTACCTTGATTTCTCTGATCAAAAAAGGACAAAGATAACTCAGAGTCTTCTAATTTCTGACTGGTGAGACTTATTGTTGCAGATTGCAAGATATTAAGACATTAGCATCAAATTCAAGCATATATCACCAGACATTATAAATAGCGATCACGTTGGTTTCATTAAGAACATATCATCAGGCAATAAGCAAATGCTTACACATCTTAAATGCATGAACAGATTAGGTTCTGGTTGCAGCCTTCTCACTAAATGCCAAAAAGGCCTTCGACTTGGTGGAGTGGGAATTAAACTCTTCCAAAATTTGGTTTTGGGCTTGGCTTTTGTAACTGGATGAATATACGAATTTTAAATTTCTTAATGCATCCAGATCAAGTTCCTTCCTATTACACGACCTCTGTGCTGAGACAAACTATTTTACATCAATTAACAGATACCTGTGTAAAACTGTGAATCCACTTTAACAGGAAGATGGCCAGTGAAAAGGCGTAATACATATATTTGAGTACAATTTAGCAGCTGCCTTCTTAGTTGCCACCAGTATACTCTGTGCACAGTTTGAAGACACTTACGCTGTGGTTGACAAAGTGGGAGATGTTGCCTAGGTGAGCAGCATCCACTGTGTACACATCTTCCACATAGTCCAGGTCAAACAGGTATGTAGATCCTTGGCGGTCGTAAATGTGGCCCCTCCTCTCTGCTTCATCTGTTGTGATAATCTGAAGGAAACAGGACATTGCAGGATAATAGTGATACCACTGCTCTGAAGTCATATGCCAACATAAAAAATTAGCAAAGATTAATTAAAAAAACTGAAATAACCACTTAAACTATTTACTTACAGTTTCTACTATGTCAACCTGTCACAACAGTATATATATATATTTAAAGAGCAATCAGACCGATTACTTCAACATTGGATCCTAACCTCCACTCTGGGATATTCACTGCAGCGATTTCTCTCACACGCGCGCGCGCGCACGCACACACAAGTCAGACTTGATGATACACATTAAAATATTCTTGACTCTGCTGTTTAATGGTATCCGACGTAATTTGCTGTAGGTTGTTATATATGTTTTTCAATTGACAATTCTTATGGAGTGTGAGCATAAAAAATGCTGCTGGTCAATAATGAAGTGGATCAATAATCTGCTTCAGTTCCCTAAAATGTGCGTACATTCAAGTTTGTTTTCATATGCTAAAGATCCTACAGTGTGCGTGAGAAGTGGTGTACGCATCCTTCAGGCCCTTTCTTGTGTGTACGCAAAGGTTATAAATGAGGCCCCTGGTCTGAAGTGATTAGCCATTAGCCTTTTAAGTAGCCCGGCTAACTTCTCCGCTTCTCTTTCCTTTCCCTCCGCCTACACAAAGGCTTTTCCAGCCTGCCTGCTGTAAATTGTTGCTCTGACTTTGCAAGTAACATGTCTCAGCGACCAACATAAAGAATAGTTCATAGAAAAAGCCAATTTTCTCCCTGATTGTCTCATTTGCTATTGTACGTCATAAAGAGGCATCATTATTAAAATAACAAGCTAAAAACCTCTTGTAGGGGCTTTCAAAACATTTGAAATACAACCCTGCAATTTACTATGGCATTGAGAAGGTGCTACCTGCTCACTCCAAATATCTTTGTTTGATCATTTTAAAAACTGAATTTTTTAAGCCAACACAACTGACATTATGAAAAAAAAGAGAGAGAGTTGGCAATTGCAAATGGTTGCTATGGTAAAACATAACCATGATAGGTGCACAGTGAAAATAGTAGGGCTGCAACTAACAATTATTTGAAAATCGACTAATCTGTCAATTATTTTTAATCTATCAATAATTTGATAAAAAGACAAAAGATAAATTTTACCCTTTCAAGCAGTTTTTTCAAAAAGTAGCTTCTACTTCTAAAGACATACTAGACATCTGCAACTGAATTATGATACTCCAGTTTCAGATTCTGACTATTCATAATCCATGTTCAAGATGTCTTAAATTCACCTAAATTCAAGATGTCTTAAATTCACCTAAATTCAAGATGCCATAGATTAAGTTTAAACTAGTCAATATGGTGTTATCATAAACTTGAATTATGACTTGTCAGAATTGTAGATATCTGAAAGATTAGGATAAAGATCATAATACAATTCAACATAATTGCATTAAATCATTCGTTATTCATGATGAGGAATCCCATATACATGAATGACAAAAGTAGTTTGATTCTTACAATGTAATTACAGGTGTTAAAAGTTAGGGTTTTGAGAATTAATGATATTGTTTTGACAATTCAGAATGATGTTATATGTATATATAAAGATTCTTACTAGTCACAGTGAATGCTGATGATGCTTTTAACATGTGACAGACACAAAAATGAAAAAACAACAACAATATCTTCAGGTGAAAAAGCAGTGACACAGACGAAGATGTCAAGAGAGTTTGGGGTGATAAGAGCTGACACCAGTGTCAGTGTGTTGTCAAGAAAATCATGTGGTCCCTGCCTCTGTCTGATGCTCCCGGCTTATCCAGCTCTCAACTGAATAATGCTGAGGATTTGATACTGTTGTGAAAGTGTCTGTGCAGGGAACCTCCCACTGTGATGTGCATGTGTGAGAGACAGACCCTGGGTAAACTCTGTAGCCAATTCTCTGGATTTTACCCGCAGGTTATGTCTGAAAATGTTTACAGAGACACCTCCGGTCACACATTCAGCTCTCTGTCTCAGACACATTCAGCGGGACAAGCCATTTTAACTTTTTGAATAAACTGCTGGAAGGCTTAAAATGAAGCTTTTGTCTTTTTTATCTGATTAATAGTTGAATAACCCAAATAATAATCAACAGATGAATCAATTTTTAAGATAGTTATTCGTTGCAGCCATACTTTGGTCACAAAACTAATATGTGACATAGTGAGCCCAAACGATCCTTTCCGATGTCTTTCTGCAAAGAGAATATCACATCAGTAATATAGAAAATTATAGTAATTTTTCTCTACTTTGCCTTTAACAATGCAATTAATATTTTATATCTCAAGTTAACATAACCAATTACTTCAATAATGTTCACTTGCATGTTTTACTTTGTGCAGCATAAGGCAAAATATGCCTTTATTAAGTTAATGTTTACATTTTAGGCAAGTGCCAATCAAACTGATTTGGCTCTGATCTACGGCTCTTGTCTGCAACTTCCAAAACTAAAAAAATCATGTCATGTGAACTAAACATATCTCTTTACAGATTCTTCCTCACATTTTTTTTTTTATGTCTTGACATTTTTCATCAGAGCCAAAGAATAATAGTAAGAATTTGATTTTACTTTTCAAACGCTGCCCAGGTGTAAGACAAGTCAGTGCATCTAGCCCTAGGAGTTTTGAAGTCAGGTTACATCAGATACATTAGTAGAAACTTATAATGCTCTTCTATCTAATCTGAAACATGCACCGACTACAAGATTAATTTGAAAATAATACAATACAGGATATTATTAAAATGATAATGGAGGAAGCAGGGAGCAATGAGGCATCTCAGAAAACACAAAAGCTGGTTTAACAGAGGCTGGTCAACAATCGTTGAGTATTCCTCAACTCCAAAGGAAGCACTGACTTTAGACATCATGACTGTCAATGACAAGATGCTCAAGGCCAAACTGTTAAAAATGTGCTTACCTCTCCTACGTACTCCATGACAAATGTGTTCTTCCTGATATGCTGCAGTGTGCGGACACCCCATCCTCGGCCGTTCTCTGTCTTAAAGATGCACAGATCAAACTGGATACCCCTCTGCACCACTCTGTTGGAACAATCTTGGCCACAGCTGCATCGGGAGTTACACTCATATATAGGCTGTCCTGCCCGGATCCGGACCTGCCCCTTATCATTGTAGGCCATGCGGTGCAAGGAGGCCCCAGGGCAGCAGCCATTCACTGGCTCCTCTAAACAGTTCTTACACTCACAACCCACAGCCATCTCATCTAACACTATGCCCTGGCCTGCTTTGTAGTTGTTTATGTAGGTGAAGTTTTTTGGAGGGCCCTCAAGGTCCACTTCGTTAATGACATAAATGCGACCTGGGTGGTTGCGAGTCTGATTCAAATGGTTCTCCCAGCGCTGCAGACTCTGACGGAGTTGGGCTTTCTGGAGCAGGTTTGAGGCGACTTCCTTATCTAGCTTTTTAGGAATGCAGCGTCTCTTTTGGCGCCTCAGTTCCTCATCAAGGTCCAGGTGGAACTGCTTTATCAGTTTGGGGCATTTGAGGTTCCTCTTGGGTTCCCAACTCTTATCTGACTCTGGGAACCCCCTCCATTTAACCAGGTAGAATTCCTCCTCCTGAAAAACACAACTTTAATGAGGATCAGACACTGAATTTTTCCTGTTGAAATGTATACATCTTTTACCATGTCAACACAGTGAACAGATATCTAAGCTTCATTGTTTTGACAATTAACAGCCCCACATCATCACAACGGGTGTCAATGTTTAATATATGACAATTAAATATTATTACATGATTTATGTTTGCACTGAGACAAAGTTTATTTTCCCCTCCAATGAGTTCAGCAGAAAAAAAAGAACCTCAAGGTGTGGTGATTGACACACAGGGCTCTGTGGGGCGGGTTCCACCTGTCAGTACGGATTGATTAACAGGTGCTGAGTAGGTGTTAATGCCATTAGAAGAGAGGCCGAGCTGCGAGACACAAGGACAATGCAGGGAGTTGATCATGTAATGCACGTGACACGGAAAAAGGCAACACCAGCCGCCTACAGCGTGAGAGGACGGCAAAAGTCAGGACAGCAGCAGACACCCCGCAAGAGTCCAGACAGCAATGGCACGGCACACACAACACGCACAACACGCCACACCCGCAGGGTGCAGAGAGTAAAGAGGGAGACGCTTTGTTGGAGAAGCAGAGGAGATGCAGTAGTGCTGCTCAATTGTGGCAAAAAAAATCATAATCACTATTATTTTAATTCATATTGAAATCACGATTATTAAAAAACGATTACTCATTGA